AGTTTTCGAATTGACATTGCTAATGTAAATAGACAGAATCACGAAAATCTGGCCTCTACACGGCTCACAATGGAAACGCTTATGAAAGCGGACTGCGAATTTCGCAAATGGAATACTCTGTTTAGCCGAGTTGCCGCCTCATTATCTCGTCAAACGCTTTCTCCCAGAATATATTTGTTTCCCTCACAGAAATTCTAATCTGGAAACGATGCGCGACAAAATTCATTTTTGTTAGCTATTGTGTACAAGTGATGTCTAGGGTGTCCCATTTTGATCGATAAACGCTTATGTCTCGACAACTGTAGTGAAATGTAACGAAAGGAACGAAGTTGGCGACATTATGAATTTTATTTTCTATCGTTTCACCTCACTCCGTCGCATTCCATCTCGTTTCCGTCCTTCGTTACTGCTGTGCAGCCAATAACGATCATGTGTGGAAGATCAAGGCAGCCGAGCTTCGTGAATGGAAGAGGTAAATGTCTAGATAAGTCACCTTCTCACCGATTGCAATGAACTCGAAGTATATTGCCAAGGACATTATTCTGAATAACTTTTTCCTATATATGTAGTAAGCAGTCTTTTTTATTTTTCAAGAGATTCGTATAAATATGCCCGGAAAAGGAAAGCTATCGAAATTATTTAGGACAAACTTTTGTATGACCTTGACGCTGTGATATATTGTGAAGGTCACTGTTCTGGGTGCCTAGTAATTTAAATTTGTTGGTAGTGACTGTTGGTTCAAAAATTATGACGCATTAAAATTTCACATTAAGCTCAAATCCTTCACCTTCACATGTATTTATTGATATTGTTTTTTACTATATGCACACATCACTTTCATTCAGACATACTGGTAGGTACTAGTGGGGCTAGTTTTTACGGGATGGAGGTGCAACGCCCCTTAGGTGTTAACCTACCTCTATTATCTAAATGAAACTAATTGCTGTATATCATACGAAACAAATTCAATAAGTGAAGGAGAATATATAATACATACAAATTGTCGTGTATAATATATGGAAGGTGCTCATTCAAATATTTATCACATTTTTTTACATATAACACCAAAACTAAAAAAGACAGCCAGACATGTTATATGTATAGGATAAAGTCAGAGTGATGTTCTTGACAATATATTTTGTGTTGAAGTTGGTGAGGTGGTGACTCATCAAAGGAAACATCAATTTCATTCATTTCAATCTTATTTTCTCAAACGTAGTGCTAGTGAATTTTTACGACTGTCGTGATTAACCTACGTCCAAACACGATGTAAATCGGACTAATTTCACCGACTTAATCTAATTAACAAAATTAAAGGTTAATTTCCTTAAAATCGACAAAACTAATCCGATTTACATGGTGTTTGGACTTATTTTAATCGCAACAATCTCAAGAACTCACTGGCACTACATTTGAGAAAGTGAGATTGAAATTAATGAAATTGATATTTCTTTTATCGCATGTTCATATCTGACGCGTGCAGCATCGCTTTGAAGTCTCCCGCCTCGATCCTCGTTTCTCGGAGGACTGTGTCTGTCTCGCTTCCTCCTATTATACCCATTTTTCGACTTTGTCAAATTGTGCCCGAAGAGTCCATGTCCCCTTGCTGCACATGCTCCTTCAGTTAGTGGGACATATGAACAGACGTCGTCTAGTACACATGTACATCTCCCCCAGACTTACTCCAACTGCATAAAGATTCGTAGTCTAACGATCGATATAACCGAAACATCCTCCGTTCGTATTAGCACGCGGATATCCATCGGCGAATCTCCGATTTCGACCCGGGAGAACGTTATTGCCCTGGAACTATCGCTCGTGCACGATTCGAGGCGGGATTCCATCGTTCGCGATATCGTTCGCGATAATGCGCGATAGGTACCCGTGTGAACCTGGCACAGGACTAGGCGATATTAAAAATCAATATCTCCTGTTTGGTGGATCCCTGTACCCGGCCGTGCCACACTGTTCCTGATCGCGGCTCGCATGGAACGAACGAATGGCGCAGACGTCGCGGGCCACGCTGCAAAAATTCCTTCGAAATTCAGCCGTATAAAACCGGTTGATCGCTTGTTTACCGTGGATTTAAACGGTCGCGCGATAATTAAACCCGGCCGACCGGCCGGCCGTAATTAACGAAGTTCCGGAAACTTTCGGGATCCCGAAATCGGTTATCGCATCGTCGCGTGAGAACTGGGGAACGCTAAGTTTCCGAACGAGGTTTCCTTAATGCAGAAAAATGTTCGTGTTAACCCGCGGGTCGCGACCCCACCTTGTCGTAAAGTAACAAGTTCATGGGGCGCGCGACTTCGTTTCGTGGAGCCTTGGAACACCTTGAGCTGCTGCTTTGTTGTTAAGCGAGTAGTTTGTTCGAACACCGTTGTTACTGGAGTTTTATTGGATTCTCGTTAAAATTGGTTTCCCGTGGAGTCTGTTGTCGTTTTTCTTTTTCTGTGGTTTTTGTACAGCCTGCATGGAGCTACGTGATTAATGGTACGGATTGGAGATTTATGTACATTTGCCGATGAAAATCTTCGAAATAGAATCTTCGAGGAAGTTGAAATTGTCTGATATTGTTAGTAATGAAATATATGATAGGATTATTTATTGTAATAAAATTATCTATTATTAATTTTCTACGAATAATAAACTGTCAAGTAAATTGATCGCTAGATGACAAATCTAATTTTAAGGGCATTTACATCTAAAGAAACTAATAGAATTTCAAATAATATTGTTTTATTTAAAATTTCTTTTATTAAAAAAATTTTCTATAAATTTTCCCAAATAAAATGGTCTAATTTTGATGAAATTGCGAACGTTTATATTTTTCGTTAAAATTTTTTAATCGACACACACTTTGTGCACTAATTTTCGTGTATATTTTTTAGGTCACTTTCGAAACGAAGGGTCTGAGACGAAATCTAAGTGTATCACGCGATGGAGTAGACCGTTTTCGTACAGAAACCATTACGGAAATCTACAACAGAGATTTTGTGGGAGATTGTTACCGAGTTCGTAATTCGGTGCCTGAAATTTAATACAAAATTTCGAGACATTAAGTCACTGTATACTTTCTAATCTTCGCCAATTTTTCTTACACCACCAAATTACACGAAAATTGTATATTAACCTTTATCTAAATTACAGCAGATGTTATAACCTTACGCTCTTTCTTTTTTTAAGTAAATATACGCCATCATTACAAGATGTGATCAAGAAATTTTTAATGCAATTAGTCGAAGCACACCAAGTCGAAAATAGTAAAAGATAATTCGTGATAAGGGCGATAAAAGAATTTTGTTGAGGGAAATTACAGAATTAGAAAATGGTTTCAGAAATCAGTTAATGATAACACTATTAAAATATACTATTAATACTTTAACGTGATACTTTGTAATACTATCTATATAAAATATTTATAATATAATATAGATAATAGAATATGATATAATAATTTCTGTATTACTTTATAATATAGTAATTAATAATTTTTCATGAATACTTTATAAACAGTGAAACGAATGTAAGAGAATGATTTACGAGAAGTAACTTTATCATGAAATTACCGAGTATCAAGATTGCTTTATTCTTTTTACTATGTAGTAATTTTTAAAACAGCAGAAATAACTTCTACAGCATTCGCAAAAGGTTAATATGTATAAAACGAATTTATTCTAACATGCATCCGATAGCTGCTCATGCAAATCAGCATCTCGATTCACGAATGGCGTGACTCCAAGATCTTAACTTTATTATGATATAGTAATTCTTCAAGTAGCAAGAATAACTTCGGAAAAATTGGCAAAATTTCTATTTTCAAACGAAAAATAAAATAAATTCTCCAAATTTATCTTTTCGACAGCGATATAATTAAAATAACACTTTTTGGTAAATATACTTACCACGTATCGATAGACGCATAACTCAGAAAAATATGATAAAATTGTTGAAATATCATCATATTAGAACTCAAAGAAAAGTTCAAAAAATTCAATGAAAAATTCAGTTACATTCTTAAGGCTTTGAATTAACATAAAGACCTACAGTCTACTAATCACTTGAACGATCAAGTTGCAGCTGACACAAATTTGCACGTTGCACGTTCTAGCAAAACGTATTTCCCTTCTCAATGAAAAAATATTTAAATTTCAAATCTCTTTAAAAGCTGCAACTACGAAAAATTCCAATATTTAACACTACACAACTTATCAAAACATAGTTCCCTTTTCAATAAAAAAGAAACACGTAAATTTCAAATCTCTTTAAAAGTTGCAACTGTGGAAAAATCCGATATATCACATTGCACGACCTATCGAAGCAATTTCCCTTTTCAATAAAGAAAAATATTTAAATTTCAATTTACCGATGACCGGAGCGTCGAAATGACTTGAAAACAATTACAGGAAGAAATCTTGTATCAAAATATTTAGCTACGTAGGCACATAGCTAAATAATAGTGTGTCTTAACACTAGAACTACTCTAATATGATTGATATGTAATCCCTATAAAAATTATAACAATAGATTATTTTCAGTTTCTTTCGACATTCATTATAATATTCAAGTGATGCTATTTATTTCCAAAATCATTTCGAATATTCAATGCTTTTCTACGAAACTAGTCATTTTTACTGGTACATAGTTCTAGTGTTAAGAACTATGAAACCAAATCATTGCTAATTAATTCTAACACCATTTGCGTTTGTTGTGATACGATAAGTAATGTTATACGGAACGATTTAAATTCTCGTGGTAGTCAACGTGTTAAAATTCGTTTCTCCAATAATGTTCGGTGTTCGAGCAAAGAAGCCCAGTTTCGAAGCGTTGGAAAGGTGGTCCCGCGATCGTTCTACTACGTACGTGCTCGTCTACCTGCTAGTTGGTATAGTAATCGTATAGTAAATCGAGTATAACGATCATGTATCACTAACGTGCATCGGGGCGCTCGTCGGCGGCTCCAGAGCTTTGTCTGCAGATAGTCAAAGATAGGAACGTACGGGGACCTGAGGATGTAACGCCGGATGGACCAGCGTCGCATGTTGCAGTGCGCCCGGCAATTCTCCAGCCGTTGAGTACGCCAGTGGATGGTGCCACAATTCAGGACCACCAGGGAAGAATGGGTTCCCTAGATCTGGAATAGAATAAACGGTTAAGTGAGGTTTAATAAACGCGAGCATCGATGGACGCGTCTTAATACTAGAACTACCGTACAGGTAGGAATGTCACCCATTTTTAGGTTGTTCTTTTGCGATTATTGAAAGGCAACGGTTGCTTCTCTGAGAAATGGATGATGAAATTGATTTAGTAGTATAATCGTAATGAAGTGATAGTAGCTTGGTAGTAGGAATTTGGTAATGGTGATTTGGTAATGATGATTTGATAATAGTGATTTGGTATGGGAATTTGGTAAATAGTGGTTTTGTAATAGGAATTTGGTAATAATACTTCAGCAATAGCACTTTGGTAATAGTAATTTTGTAATAGTAATTTAGTAATAGTAAAGTTCTTCTACAAATAAGAAACGAAAAGTGGAAAATGTAATTATTATATTATTAAATAGCATGTATTACATACTACATTAATACATGATATGAAACAATACATAGTAATATAAGTAACTATTATATTATATAGTAGCAATAACAAAATAATAAAAACATAGTAATTATATATTAATTATTATATTATAATAATACAACAAATGTGATCTAGACTTTAATCCCAATGCCGTTGTCGTTCCACCCTGTGTATACAACTAGCGCAAAATGAAATATTAAAATTCCGAAGAAATTCTTCCCATCAATCTCAGCGGCGAGTCCGTCTATCCATGTCGTTACAGAAATAAATCGTTTCGTTTTTCATTAACGTGAACTAATGTCTTCTATTTCAATTAAGCCAAGATTATTCGCGTATTCATGAATAAATTACGAATTGTCAGTCTCCCGTAGGAGAACCATCGGCGAATGGAACAAATTCCCCGTCAAAATGCTACGTGACACGCTACTCGCCACCGGCAACTGTCACGAAACAATATAACAATTCTATTGAAACGTTTCGATCGATCTAACAAGCCGCGACTGTAACGCGACGCGATCGCGTTGCGAGAAACAATCAATTGCCGCTCGCGCCGCGCGCCGTTTGCAAATTTGACCCCCTCCGGCTAAATTATCCCGTCCACGCGGGATATAAATTTTTGAATTTTGTGACCTTGAATCTACTCGGAATTATAGGGTACGTGTACATTACGAGCAATCGTTTTAATTTAGTGACAAAATTTCTTAAACCTTTGCCATATGATATCGTGTCAGACTCATGAAGATTGCAAATAGGATTTAACACTGGAACTACCAAGCCTTTAATGTGATATATATTCCTCCTAAAAATTGTAACAGCACATTTTTTCAATTTCTTCGGACGTTTAACACATTTGGAACATCAATAATTGTGAAATTTGAAAACTGAGACCCGCCATTTTGACGGGCATGGTAATTCTAGTGTTAATTATAAATTATAAATATATTTAAAAAGTTTAAATTTTGAACATTTTATTTTTCAATTTTATATACGTGAAAGTACAATGCATTTAAACATTTTCTCGCTATTCCTCACCGTTCTCGGGAAAGAAAAATTTGCACTTTTTCCAAGGGTGGTTTCATCCCTTCAAAATGAAATTCGACACAAAAAAAGACTACGATATATTAGGCTTGACTTACTCTGTACACAAAGTTTCATAATTTTTCGAATTTCCGGGTTTGATACTTTTCCTTGTCAGTTTAACATGTTGAATGCCGCGCGATTTCATAGAACAGCATACACAAAATGGAAAAAAACGTAGTACTAAATCATTTGATTGAATTACATTATTATTGTTCCACGTTCATCTAGCTGAATACCACCGCATTGGGTAGCATTATTTATAATATAGGAATGCTTTCAAATACTTCCCCTTTAATTGAGCGAACTATAGTAATTCGATTTGATTGGGGGTCACCGGTGATCCCCATGGCATTAAACAAATTCGAGCTTTCTGTTCAGGCGATTTGGTCACCTGGTAGGATAAATGTTCAACCACGTGTCTGTTAAAATAATTACTTAAAAATTAAATTCACTGATTTGTTGTCTAATGCATCTTAATCTCTACACCCCTTTCTTGTTAATGTTTTTGTATAATGTCTTTGCACCACTGTAAAAATTGTAAGACATAGGTCAATAGCAAAACAATTTAATCGTAAAGGAACGTGTGCTACCAGCGTTTATTTCGGTGACGGTTTCCTCAATTATAATATTTTCTATAATCTAATAAATCCTCTAAACAAAATATTAGAAAAATGAAACTGAAACGAGCCATTGAGTTCCTAAACATAATGTCGCAGTTTATAATTTCTAATAACAATATCTATAGGATTAATTTCATTTTCGTTATATAAAATATAGGATTACGGCCGTCACAAATATGTGACGCTGGTAGCGAACGTGTTAATGAGTTGCATACGTCTTATCAGTTGCGTATATTTTAGAAACACCCTGTATGTAGTCAGATCGACCATAGTTCAGATAGAATTCACAGGGAAAGATGTTGAAGTAGTCGTAACCGGTGCATCTAAATGCTCTAACGCGAGTTCACGTTGTATTCGGCTCTTTAAGCTTTTCTTTGATTCCATTCGCGGTCAGGTGAACCGGAAGTGGCTCTCGCGGGCCACAACGTGACACATTCGCGGCGGTTTCGAGGGCCGTCTCGCGCCGCGGCCAGCAGAATCAATGCAAATCGCTGCGAAGCGGCTTCCACGAAACCGTTTATTTCTTGCGGCCCGCGATACGTCACGAACCGGCAATTATTACCACAAAGATCGTCGAGCGTGGCCACGGTGAGCGCAACAAGACGCTCTTTTATAACGTCGCGGCACGATCAGTGTGCAGGAGATTTAGTTCAACCTGCGTCGTCAATAATTTGCATTCCTTCCGTTTGAAGAAAGGAGGAAAAAAGATAGCACACACGATTCTGTTCTTACACGAATTTTTCTTTAAGTGATCAAGATTTAACAGGAATTACTTTCCTTCTTTTGCATGATTTTGAGGTAACAGGAATTGTTTTGCCTTTTTTGGATAATTTTCAGTTAACACGAATTATTCTCCTTTTTTTTGTAAGACTTTAATTTAACACGAATTATTTTCCATTCTTTGTAAGACTTCAATTTAACGCGAATTGTTTTCCTTTGTTTGTGAGATTTTAATGTAACACGAATTAGTTTTTTGTTTTACATCATTTTAGTTTTACAGTTATTTGATTCGATTTAACAGGTTAATATTAACTTATTCATATTAGATCATCCTAAAAACAATGGCATTCTTGTTTTTTGCTAGCTTCTGGTGTAAAAAATTAATACTTATGATTTTTTTAAATCGTTGACGTATTGATCACCGTTGCCTACGACCTTTTCCATTTCTCGATTAACTTTTCAACGCCACTTTCAAAAAGTTTTGTGGTTTTACGTTAAACAAATTCATCAGAAACGACATTACTTTTGGGATGACCTAATAATTGACGAGAACGTGAAAAATGTTCAGTTTTATTGTAAGCGCACGTTTATTTTGAAATAACAAATAACATTGATATTTATTAAATTAAAAACTTTCCAAGAGTAAAGTTGCAGTGTTAGATAAAAAAAACTGAGCTACCTTTATATGAGAATTACAGGAAAATTATTTTTTGAGAAACCAAAACTTTCATGAATGATTTAAAATCATACATATCAATTACCGTTTGCAGTTCATTTGAAATACAACACTACTCTATACTGAATACAAATCACGTTATCGAATCATATTAATGTAAAAATAAATTCGAGAGCGATACGGTAAATATTTTCATATATTTTTGGAAAACATTTTTAACATGCTAATTCTTATTTAACTAGCAAGCTGAAATAATTTATAAATTTCTATAAATTAATTATTAATTTAATTTACTCAACCCAATTTATACAATTCTATTTGCTTCAACTCTGAATCCGGAATAAATTGAGACTTACATTTTCCATTAAAATCGCGGTTTATGTTTCCAAATAAATATGAAATGCTATCGCAAGTCAACTTTTTAACAACATACTATATTTCATTGAACGAACCTGATGCAATTTCACGGAAAATAAATATTCCACAGACCAAACATGAATTTCACGTTTCGGTGACATTATAGATAAAATTAATTAACTCAACGAAATTTCTCCATTTTTATCGTACTTATACCTTACAAATTAAATTATCGAGCAGCACGATATTACCGTGTGAATTCACTTTTCGGTAATTCACAATCATAATTATTCTCATAATTAAACCGCAAATTTGCAAGGAAAATCCGATGTTTAAGGATACAATTAGAAAAACAGAATTACGATGTAAAATAGTTTTATCTGAACGTATATCGTAAAAACCGTCGCAATTCACAGCTTTTGTATATTCTTCCTCATCCTGTGCATCCTGCAATTTTGCACTCCGAAATTTCTCATGAATGCATAAAAATCCGCGGTTCGTTAATCATTTAAACGGAACGTTTTCGTTATTCTGAAAGTTGTAATCTTCCGCTGTTGCCAACGGCAAAATTCGACGTATTACTTCCGTTTAAAAAATCATTCGGATCCCCTGTCCGCATTACTAAAAACAACCCGACGTAGGTATGTAAATAATTCAGAGTGCACACGTACAAGGTATATACACGGGCACTTGTACAGGCACACCGTCGAGCACGCTACATTTTACTGCACACAGAGGGTTTTCGTACATGGCAGGACCTTGCACTTTATTGATTTTAGGCTGACCCGCGATTTCCACGGCGACCTGTGGGCGAAATAAGTTCGAGGGAACGTGAGCTGTCTCGATACTGTTTCCTCGCGCGGTTTCCCTTGTTATTTGCACTCGGGATCGTTGCACCTTTCCTTCTTCGTTAAATAAACGCTCGACCCGGCTAAATAAGCTCACCTTAAATTAATGCCGCGAAATTTACATACGTGTTGTGGATAACTTTTCTTCCTGGAACGTATTTATTTCGTTTGATCTATTTTCTGTTTATTTTGTTTATCATTTTATCCGTTTTATGTTTATTATTTTATCTATTTTATATATTTTCCATTTATT